TCAAATGCTCTGTAGACAAATATTTTGCCGATTTTAAAATAACAACAACACAAAAATCATACAGCCAATATCACAAAAGGAAAGGAGTTTGAAGTACTTTTCCCGAAGGTAATAAACATGTCAAGATGTCCACACCCAGCACTTTTGTTCAACAGTATACAACAAGATCCAGCTAGTGCAATTAGGCAAGAAAACAAAATTAAAAGGCATACAGATTTGAAAGCAAGGTGTAAAACCATCTTTATTTTAAATGGCACAAGCATGTCTATGGAAAATACTAAGGAATCATTAGGAAACAATTATGAGGATGAATTTTAAAGTTCACGAATATGGAGAATTCAAGATCAATGGAAAAAACTGAATTGTATTTCTCTACAGTCGCAATGAACAATCAAAAAAAATGCATTTGAAATTACTTGAAAAAGAATGAAATATTTTGTGATAAGTTAAATAAAATAAATGCAAGGCAATTTGCCTAAAATTACAAAACATTGTTATAAGGAATAAAAGCCCTACTTAAATGAAAATACATACCATATTCCTGAATCAACAATACTCAATTTTGTCAAAATGGCAGTGCTTCCCAAATTGATGCATAAGCTTAGTGGAATCTCTATTAAAATCCTGGCTATGTTGTAGCAGTTAATTACAAACTGATTGTAAAATTCCTACAATAATTCAAGGGTCATAAAATATCAAAGCAAACTGATAAAAGGAGAATAAAGTTGGAGTTCTCACATTTCCTACTTGAGAAGTTACTACAATGTATCTATAATCAATATAGTATGGTAGTGCCATAAGTTCAGATGCACAGTTCAATAAAATAGAATTGGAAATACAAAAATAAACTCATACCTATGAAGAATTAAGTTATTATAAGGTTTTATTGACAATTCCATGAGGAAAAACTTTTTTTTTCAACAAATGATACTAGATCCATTAAATTGGGACATGTAAAGCAATTAATGTGGATTGCTTTTTCATACAGTTCACAAAAAGCAATTAGAAATGTGCCATAGAACTAAATGTAAGATCTATTACTCTAAGAATATTAGGGAAACAAACACAAAACTAAATCCTTATGACCTTGGATTTGATGGTAAGGGCTTTAGATAAGATCCCCAAACCAGAGGCTAACACAGAAAAAAATAGTAAGTTGAACATAATAAGAATGAGGGAAAAAGAACTTTTCTACACGGTTGGTAGAAATATGAATTAGTAGAATCAGTATGGAAATCAGCATGGAGGTTCCTCAAAAGGCTAGAAATATCAAAATCATATGATCCAGCTATAGCACTCTCTGGTATTTATCCAAAAAAAAAATTAAGGTCAATATACTATAGAGTTGGATGTATACCAATGTTTACAGCAGCACAATTAATAATAAATAATAAAAGAAAAAGAAAAAAGAAAAGAAAAAAAAGAAGAGAAGAAGTTACAGACATAAGGCAGGCATGTCTTCAATCCAAACATTTTCTTCTATGACTTTTATCAGAGATAAAACTCAACTAGAACAAAAGTGAAAAAATGAATATAACTAAGGAGGACTGAAATCAGTATGGTTGAAGAGAATTCCCAAGTAGAAAACAGTGGTGGAAAATTATACAATTGTAATGATTCAAGTTGATAGTATTGGGCTCTGAATGTGAACTAATCTTAAAACAAATTTGACAAGGATAAGCCAAATGTTTGTTGTGGGTATTCAGCATAAGGACACAAATGCTATAGAATTCCTCATCTTCAGAATGATACCATCTTGAAGGGGATGGGAGGCCAACACTAATTTACTATGCTGAACATGACTGTGGGGTCCTGTAGGAACATGGTCATTATGGTGCTAGCCCAGAGTGGGGTCAAAGAAGGCTTTTTAAGGAAACCTGAGTGTAGACATATAAGTAGAAATGAGTGAGCTCTGCACAACATTCTAACTGGAGAAGCAATTACCTGACAGTTCCCCATATCAAAATCCCTGGATCCAGAGAAGAAACACCTATAAATACCAGTAATTTCTTTATAAGAAAGAGAGTATTCAAAATGAGGGAAGTGGTAGATACCCAAGAGAAACTGTATCTGGTGAGTTGTGCTTAATTCTGGAAGGCTATATTTTAAGATGGTGGTATATAGATTGCAATTATTCAGAAAAATTTAATATTTAGATTAAAATAATTTACACCTATTATCTATATGACAGTAAAAAAAACAGGATCTATTGTATGAAACCTCAAAGGGAGGATCTATAGCCATAAAGATATGTTTTATCTTTATATGTTTACCATTAAACATACCTGGAAACTGTATGAGTTGAATTATTAACAAACATAATTTTCTGCCTTCAGATTTGTTGCAGAAAGAATGAATAATCACTTTCAGGTAGATCTATGGAATCACTGTTATATTATAAGGAGACTCAAGTTCATGAAAGTCCTCTTACCTTCTGAGAGTAAAAGGGTCTAGAATAATTGGAATTCAGATGATCTTTCTCTACTTGGAAACAGGAATTGGAAAAGAAGCAGTGAGCCCATATTTTATTCTTATAGATTGTTCTGTTTTCAATGACCATATGTAGCCAGGAAACTGAGGAAGGGAATCATTAGAGTGGATCCTAAGAGAAATGAGAAGGGTTTATGATTCAGTAAAATTCAAGTAACCTGAGATGTATTTCCATTTCCCTTTTAGGCTTTTGTTTACTGAAAAGGAAAAGGTAAACTGCTGCAATAGAAGATTTTTAGGAGGTTCACAGTAATATCAGGCAAAAGTTTGCCTACCTTCCTGGACCATGTGCCAGTTCACCCTGGTGGTTACAGGCAGACACATACTGCTGGTTGGGCCTGGCAGGTTCCTTGGCTGCTTTCTAATTATGAGAAGAGAAGACAAAAGAAAAGCCTTTCTTCTGTCTCTACCCACTCCTTTTCTATCACCCTCTTACCAGGATCTTTTCTTCTCTATAATTTTTTTTTCAAATAATTTCCATTTAATTTGCAGACACATCTGGTTTTTAAAAAACATTTTTATGGTTGCATACTAATTATACACAATAGGGGGTTTCACTGTGATATATTCATATATAATGAAATGACATAATTTAATCAAATTCATTCCACAACAAACTTTATGGCAGCAGTGTTTCCCAAGCATGATAGTATACTTTTAAAATTCGATCATGAAAATTATACCTAGGCCGATTGAAATGAAATATTTCTCATTCATAGCCTAGTTGAACCAAAAAAAAAATCAATGAATAGAGGAAGATAAATCAGAGCAAAACCCTTTTAGTAAAACAAAGAAGCCCCAAACACAGCAAAACAATAGCTGGAACCCAGCAATACTCAGCATTGCCCATTGATTGTACTGAACGAGGCAAAGACAAGTCCAAATTTTCTAACATGGAATCACAGCACAATCCCCTCTCCATGGATCCCTTTATTTCTTCTCTCTTCCCATTCACAAGCTGATGTCTACCACCAATGCCTATATCCAGGTCTAAGCCCAAAAGTCATGGTTTGTAAGTGGTATAGAATACTGGCATTTCTGCTTCACTGAGAAACCTGCACAAGGTCCTAGCAAGAAGCATTTTCTTTATACAGATTCTTTGTGGTTTTGAAGTAATAGGATGCTATTGGAAGCCATGAGGATACATCTCTCTCACTTCCCTAACAACCCTTTAGCCAATAAAATGATGGCTTGTCTAATGGTTTGGGGAGACAAACACTGTAGCTAACATGAAAAAACATCAGTGTGAGAAGAATATGAGGTATAGGAATGAAACAGGATGAAGACAATTAAGACTGAGAAGCAGAAGGTCCATTTTTTTTCTGCATACTGGGAAATGTTCTCTTTCTCTTTATGAGCCCTGTAATGTCCACAAGAAAACATGGTTCCCAGTGTCAGAAGACCAACCCTGGAGTCTTCATTTTGCTATTTGTTCTTCACACATCCTGAGAGGAGTCACTTTAACTCAGAGCATCTCAGTTCCCCAGTCTTAAAATGGAGATAATAATAATACCTTATGCAATCCAAATTAAAGTATTTCATCAGCTGTGATGTGTGGCTGAAGTTTTAGCTACTGATCTCTCTCTACAATTATTCAGGAAGGAAGCCCAGCAGGTGGAGGACCTTCCTCATCCTTATTTCTGAGATTATAAATCAAGGGGTTCAGCATGGGGGTGACCAGATTATTCAGGACCTGAACAGTTGCATCTATCCAGGGGCTTGGGGTTGGCCTTAGATAGATGAGGACCACTGGCATGTAGTAAAGCAGGATGGCTGTGAGGTGGGCACTGCAGGTGGAGAAGGCACAGTGGCGGCGGCCCTCTGGAGAGCAGATCTGCAGGATGGAGCAAAGGATGCAGCTGTAGGAGGTGAGGATGAGGAGGAAGCAGCTGAGGGGCATGAGGCCAACACTGATGAACCCCACCATCTCCAGGGCTGAAGTGTCTGCACAAGCCAGCTTCAGCATCACTGGGATGTCACAGAAGTAGTAGTCCACCTCATTGGGACCACAGTAGGGCAGCTGGAAGGTGAGAGTGGTCAGAAAGGTGGCCTGAATGCAGCCCCAAAATGAGGCCCCTGAAGCCAAGATGGCGCACACTCTGTGGCTCATGATTATGGTGTAGTGTAGAGGGAAACATATGGCAACAAAGCAGTCGTAGGCCATCACTGTGTACAGAAAACACTCAGTGCAGCCCAGAAAATGGTAGAAGAGCTGGGACCCACAGTCCACTTAGAAGATTGCTATGCTGTTCCCTGACAGATAGAACAGCATCTTGGGAGAACTCACAGAGGGGAAAAATATGTCAAAAATAGACAGTTTGCAAAGGAAGAATTACATGGGGGTATGAAGCCAAGTGGAGGAGATAATTGCCAGCAAGATTAGCAGGTTCCCCATGAAGGTGAAGGACAAAAACAAGATGAAGAGCATGGTCTCCAGACCCTCTGGTTTGGGACTCTTAGCAGGACAAACTCAGTTACCATGAAGGGAATCTTCATAGCTGTAAGAAAATCTACCCCTGAGAAGGAGTCTGAAACGCCAAATCTGTACAACAATGTCACATTATTAAGCTTTGACTATGTTTTTAAAAAGAAGCAACTTGACATATGAAAGTCAAGAGCAAAATCTATGTAAAAATTTCAGGTAAAAAGATGTGGCTATTTCAGAGTCAGTCAATCCAATCTTGGAAAAACTATTTTTAAGAGAAATGATTGTTTACTATGACAAGAGGAGAAATTTACAGAAATATTCAAAATATCCCCAAGTTAGGAGACTTTTTCCCATGGATATAATCTTTTTGATCACAGTTATATTTTGAATTCTCATATCTTTAAGTAACAAACTCCAATTATTCATTAGACTCTGCAAATAGCAGAAAAAATAGTGTTAGGAAACTAGGCACTCAATATGAATAATGGCTTTACCTGTTATTCGCCTTACAAAAGAATCTCATAAAAATAGAAGGGAGTCACACAGAGTGGAGGAAGGGGACCAAGAGTGAGGGAGAAAACAGAAGACATGGGGAAGTGTGGGGAAACAGATTCTACCAAATTATGCTATGTCCATGTACAAATATACCACAATGAATCATATGTACATGATGTACATGTATCTCAATTTTACATATTAATATAAAATTAATTAATGCTTACTATGTTCCAAGCAATGGTTCAGCATTTTAAAAATGTTTTATTTTTAAATATATATATAATCATATTTGTATGATTATGTATATTATATATACAAGTTATATTATGATAATCCATTAATTAAAATAATACTAATAATTGCCATAATTATAATAGTAGAAGGGATATGAAATGAGTAGAACAAGTAGATCAAGGAAGGCAGGAGAGGAGAGAAAGAGAAAATACTGGCAAATGACACTCATCAAATCCTGTAATTTTCATGTTAGATTATGACTAATAAATCTCTCTATATATAATTACAATGTACCAATAAAAATTCTTTTAAAAAATCCCCTAAATCCTAAGAAAAACTCTTTCTTTATTTTATACATCTGAAACAGTGTTCTTTAAGCACCTTCCATTAATGCTTGTATTTTGTAATTATTTTCAAGTATATGTCTTGTTAACACTATTGAGTAGACTTAGATCACATCCTTTTCAGATTACATTCCTCTAGATTTGATAATGCTAAGACCCATAATTCTATCTCAAGAAAGTGCTCTGGCTCTTTCTATCCCTTTAATCTATTCTACATGGACTTTAGCAACTTGAAAATATTATCAAAATATAGAAGCAGCAAGGAAAGTGTCAAATTCATGTTACTGATGAAGTGGGAAATACGGTGACTCATGTAGAATAAAAGCAAAGAACACCAATAATCAGGAAGGTTATACAAGTCAAGTGTGGTGTGGTGCCTGGGACATATAAGTTCCTGTAAGGAAAATGAAAAGTGGCCCAGAGACAAAATGCAGAGGCAGGAAAAAAAGATGGCAGAATGGCAGAGAGGTCAAGCTGCCAAGCCTTATTTATATCAATAGGTTACTTTAGGTCATTGGCATCATTAGTACATAGTGTTCATTGTATTACTAGGCAGGTTACAGACTTAGCAACATTATGCAGGGTATTCCTCAGTTATACACTAAGTTGCAATGTGTTAGGAGCTTTGTATAGCTCTCAAGAAAGTTCATTGTATAAAGTTTCTGTTATGTGTGCAGGTTTAGGCTCAGTGATACATTATGGTTGTCTGACAAGAGAGTTCCTTTATTCCCAGGAGTTGTGTGCCTAGGATCAAGGTTGAGGCTGATAAGACTAACAGAGCCTCCTCATGAAGAACATGAAGATATAGCAGCCAGGCATCCTGTGTCTTTGCACAGATGTTTTCCCAGCAGCCAGGCATTCTGTGTCTTTGCACAGAAACATCCTAGCCACCAAGCATGCCACAGTCATGAAGCTATCAGAGACCTCAATCCCAAAAACAGAACCCCTACTGGTTTCTCTTCTTCTCATTATTCACTTAGTAATGATAATAGTATTAATAATAATTGAATATATATAAAGATAATAGTAATAATAGTTGAATACACATGTAATGATAATGGTAATAATAATAATAGAACATACACACATACACACACACACACACACACACACACACACACACCTATATAATGAATGCTTATTATGTTCCAAAAATGGGATCAAACTTTTAAAAGTGTGATTTATTTTTTAAGTGTACTATAAGAATAAGTTACCATTATTATTACTATTCAGATCCACATATAAGAAACTGAAACTCAGAAACATTAATGAAGCTGCCTAAAGTGCAAAGATCCTCCTGCCTCAACCTACTGAGCCACTGGGATTACAGGCATGAACCACTGAGCCCAACTAGACAATAGTTCTAATAATAGCTAAGGCTTATTGTTCATTTGCTATGTTCTGACATTGTCTTGTGTGATCTGTAAACACAATCTCTTTCACTTAATACCGTAAATTTATTAGACAGGTAGTATCTCCCCGATATTTTAAGATATACAATTTAGTCTCTAAGCATTTAATCAAAGTAACTGAGGTAACTAAGTTGGTTAAAGATAAAGCTGTATCTCAAATCAAAAACAGTATGACTCCTTCTTTGAGTTATAAAGAAAAACAAATTCATCATTTATTGTAATTTTAAACACTCATTCATAAGCAATTTCATCTAACATTTGTGGTTGTTGTAGTTTTCCAGTGCATTTTCATGTTTCTTAGATTGATGACCAAAAAAATGTGTAAGATGGTTTGTCTTAACCCAATTTTACAAATATGAACACAGAAACTTAGAGTTCTTTCCTAAGGTTAAACAACAGAAGAGCCCAGGCATTCCCAAGCTTAGCTCAGTTTCCACCATATCACTACTGCTTCCTAGCACGACTGCAGCTGACCCTGTGAGAGAGGATTATTATTAATACATTCATTTTAGCGATTTGGATAAGTGTTCTGTATATCCTTAGAATCACTAGTGTTTCCCTGAACAAAGTATGGGGGAGAGATGGAGAAAAAGGTGGCAGTGGGGGAGGAAATGTGTTAGCTCACGATCTGTTCATGAGGATCAATCCCACCAGAACATTCAATACAGATTTCTCAAGAGAGCTCTCTTGTCATGAAACAATTAGTAAATTAGTAAATTTGCAATCAATTTGCATTATCCTTTTTAGGAATTAAGGCTTCTGAAACCCAGATTGTAGACTTCTACTTCATTCTAAGGTCTGCCATCATCTTGAAGGTTTTCAGCATACCCATGGAGACAGCCTACCCAGTTTCCTAATGCAAAGGTTCTTAACCTCCTCAAATTCAATGACTTTGGCTCTATTTTCTCCTTTAATTTTATACTCCCAGACATGATAAGCCTTTTATCATGCAGACTTGTCCCATTTATAAAAAATAAACTAAAAAAATCTTACTTTTAAAATATTCATTTTTCCAGTTTCTTACCTAGACATTTTACATGAAATTTGACTTCATCTAAAACATATAAGTCATAATTTCTCTATTTTTCCCATATATAAACTTCCTTTCATCTTTATTCTGTATGCAATCTAAATATCAAGTCCAACAGTTGCCACTGCATTACTGATATTTTCAATTCCAAATTGTTAATTTGCTTTCATCCCACCTATCTAGCAAACTCCCAACATTGAAATTAGCCCAACTCTCTACTTGCTCCATTCTTATGCCAAATCTGCTGAGTACTGCTGAAAAGATTCACATATACTATGGTTCTTTTTAGTAGTTTGGTTCCACTACATAAATTGAGATACTGGACCCTCTTCTACACAAATGTTTCTACTTCTCCCTGGGGGAAGAAGTAGAAACTTTCCAACTAACTTCAGGGGCTATTTTTCTTTCTCTCGAGTCCTCTGTTCTACCACTCCCAGTATCAGGAACCAGCCATCTAGGGGATCATTTACCATATCATTGATAAACTAGCTTCAGATTTAAACTGGTTTATTTTGGAGGGGATACTGGGGATTGAACTCGGGGCACTCGACCACTGAGCCACATTCCTAGTTCTATTTTGTCTTTCATTTGGAGACAGGGTCTCACTGAGATGCTTAGCTCCTCACTTTTGCTGAGGTTGGCTTTGAACTCAAGATCCTTCTGTCTCAGCCTCCTGAGTCTCTAGGATTATAGGTGTGTGCCACTGTGCCTGGCAATAATTTGGTTTTTTGATGTTTCTCTGTACTTCCTATATTCTAATATCCTTCCATATTAAATCTCTCTGCGAGTGGGCCACATTTTAGCTCCTTAGCACAGAAAAAATGTTTAACATTCACCAGACAACCTTGGATATGGAGGCACAAGGAAAATGAGACAGTTTAAGGTCTTTCACAAGCTTTTCCTTTAAATAGTATACTCAGATATCCAGGACACTTAGTCTGTGGGAGTCTGAATGGGATAAACTCACCAGGAAAACACATCTTTGGCCTCCTACCTGCATCCTTGAACAAAATTGGCCTTGGAATCTGTCTATAAGCCAGGGGACCCTGAACTGACTGCTTAAGCTCCTTGTTTATAGCAATGAATGTTGTAAAGGAGCTGATGTCTCTAGATTCAATGCTGATCTTCAACACGTCTTCTTTATCTTTAACTAGGGTCTCACTGAAACCCAAGTCTTTTCTCTGGTCAAGGACGTTTTACCAAGTTGGTGAATGGTGAATCTAAGAGAAAAAAAAATGAAACAAAACATTCTGAGACTTACAGAAAACACCTTACAGTTATTTGGGGTTCCAAATGTTAGGGGTGGCAGAGTGAAGAAAATGTCAGAGAAGAGCAGAAAGAAGATTGAATATTTCATAAAGGAAAAGGCAAATATAGGGAAACAATTGAAGCTAAAACAAGCAAAGGAATCCACACAGCAAGGATGACAGAAAAAAAGAAGAAAGGGAAGAAAAATGAAGAGAAATGTGGGAAAAGAATAGGGAAACTGAATTCTCACTTGGCATCTGACTTGGGTTGTAGAGAAAATGTCAGCTTATGCTTAAAACTCTTGTTCTGGAGCATGTACTTGAGGCATGCTTCTCCTGTAGACTCAACTGCCTAAAAATTAGAGAAGAGAAGTGATGGAAGGCAGACATGACCAGACAAATGATTGGAACAGTGGCATCTCCCCAGCTCAGCACATTAAAATTTCTAAGTAGCCATCAGATAGCCCAGGAAGTCAGAGACTTGAAATGATACGGAAGATGGTGGGCTGGCTCTCCCTGGGATTTGCAGTCTTGCTGAAATGTAAATCTACCTACTAACTTTATTGAAATTGTCAGGACAGTTGCTAATCTGCCTCACTTGCATTTTCCCAATGAGCAGGGCATTTATGATTAACCTCTGATCTTTAAACATGGCAGTTGGTTCCATGGAAAGCATGGTAGCAGGCACACCAGGAGGCAAATTCCAGCTCAGAGAGATACTGCATATAGCAGGCTGTAGAGAGTACTTCAGGGACCTAAGAGCCTGATGGTGGAAAGGGAACCAAATAGGCAGAAACAAATAAGGATGAGAAGGATACCCACAATTAACTGAATGTTTATTATGTATCAGGTGCTGTGTGACATAACACGTGTTATGCGTAATTCTTAATACTACATTGGGATGTGGGTATTATCTCTTTTGCTTTACACATGAGAAAGCAAAGGTTGAGAGATTTAATAGCATAAATGTGAATGAAGATATGCTAGGGGAAGTTGATATCCAGATAATAGAACTAAAGAAGCCATGGCAGCAACTGGGAAAGAAGAGTTTAGAGCTGGGTGCAGTGATGCACACCTGTAATCCCAGGAGCTCAGGAGGCTGAGGCAGGAGGATTGCAACTTCAAAGCCATACTCAGCAAAAAGCAAGGTGCTGAGCAACTCAGTGAGACCCTGTCTCTAATTAAAATACAAAATAGGGCTGGGTATGTGGCTTAGTGATTGAGAGACACTGAGTTCAATCACCAGTACCAAAAAAAGAAAGAAAGAAAAAAGAGGAGCTTAGAAATAGAACCAGGGATATCTCCTTGTGCACATTGATAAGGGATCACCAATTTACCACTAAAAGAGGTCCTGAAGCACAGGTCTGGAGTCTCAAACATGATAGCCAAAGCTCTTAGTTTCTCTGAATTTGTTCTCAAATACAAAAGACTCAACCTCTTTTAAATTCTTATTTCTGGTCTTCCAAGTAATTGGGCCATATTCCAGATGTACAGTGGTCACATTTGTTTTGAGACCACATGTAGCTCTGCTAAGGACAAAGCCCAGGCCTTTGGGAAAATGCACACTGGAGGCAAGTTGGGCTCCTTCCCTTATAGCAGTGTCCCCTACCCTGCTGTGTACTTGGTCTGGATTGACCATCTCTGGACACAGGGCTTTTCCCTCAGCTTGAACTGCATCCTGTCCTTACCTGTGATGAACTCTGAAGTGCTCCCTGTCACCTGGGCAATGCTTTTTATTAAGCTGGTGGAAATTCCTTCTCCAATGCCAAATGAGAAACATCTGCAATTATAAATAAATGGAGTTTAGACATGGGCACTCAAGAAAGGACTTACACAATTAACAAGGAATGGTGACAGCTACAGGATAAGTTAATCTATTTCCCTGATGAGAACTGTAATAGAAGCCATTCACTGAACATGTTGTACATTCAGGGAACTTTAAAATAACCTGAAATTAATAGTAGAATTTAAGCATGCTGAATCTCTGGCATCAGGTTTCTCTTCCATTTCCCAAATAAAGAACTGGGGACCTGAAAACTTAACAAATCTRTCCACATTCATTTCCCTACCAAATGGTCAACAGCACTAAGCATTATGCTGAGCAGAACATTACTCTGACAAGGGAAAGAAAATATAGAAACTTTTTCCGTGTACCTCCCTGGTACTATTAGGGCACTGGATCTGCCCAGGAAGGCCATTCTTAATATGTGGCCTTCTGATCTTCAGTTGGAAATATCTTACTGTGTCCTAGTTTGTGTGCACCAGAACATACTTAAACTGTCTGATTTCATAAATAAATGTATCTATGAACAGAGAATGCCTTGATAATACTAATATATATATATATATATATATATATATATATATATATATATATAAACAGCATGAAAAAATAGTTTCCATTGTAAATTAATACTATGGATTTAGATTTACATAACAAAACTTTTTTCATTTGGCTAGTGTGAATCATCATCCTCAAATCTAGTGACATCACATTATGATGAATGCAATTAATTAGGTATCATTCTCTCTGAAGACCAAATTCTTCCAGCATCTTGATGCCCTCACTGCTACTTTTCCAACATGAACTTTGAACTGTCCCCATGCTATATATATAGTGCTTACATGCATAGTTTTACAATATTTTCATGTATGAAATCAAAACTGAAAGTTTTTATTGACCAGAAATCTCTGCCTAGAACTCACTAAAATGTTTGGTGTGGATGAATATAAGGTAATAATTATATTAATAGCAAAAATTTATGCAATATATATTTTGTGTTGAGGACAATTCCTGATGTAAACACTGGTATTATGAGGCTGTAGGTTGTAAGTGGCACCATTAGGGTCTGGTCACCCCAGCAGAAATCACATTCAGATTGTTTCACATTCAAATATGTTTCTCGTGGTTAAACTGAACTTTTTAAATTACACTAAGTGTTTCAGCAACTTCTCCATTTGTGAAGACAAAAAGCTGTATAAAGAAAGAAAATACACATTGAACTTTAAATTCATCCTAAAGTATCAGAATTTGCTCTTGAAAACCCTAATTGTTTCACTCCAGAGACTCCAGGGCTCTTCAAACAGGCATGCACTTCCCCTGGCACTGCACAGCATCCTCACAGGTCTGTTTGCAACTCTGGGGATTTTCAGCTCCTCCACACACTGACTTTGTCAGAGGCTTTTGGGCACTCCACAAAGGCAGCTCCCCTGTCCATCAGACTGAGTTAATTATTATAAAATAGAGTCTTCCAATTATACATCACATTTTGAAACTCCTGTAGTGAAGCTCAGGGACTGATTTTTTCATTTCCCTGTGGCCTTCTGTTATGTCTGTTCCAATTCCTACCTGTAGGGGGTGACCAGGGATGGAGGGCTTCCTGTAAATGTTCTGAAGTGGTGCCAAGATTTCAGTGCCCCCTAGGTCCTTGCTCATGAGCTTAATTCTCTTCACCACCTCTTCCATTCTTTTCTGAGTATACTTCACACTCTTCCTGAGAGAAACAAACACACACAGGGATAGAACAGCAGTTGGACATTGCACATAGCTGAGAAATCCAAGTCAAATAGTAATCCCACCTGAAATTCCCAAAGCATAGATCAATTCTTCACTAATATCTTTAACAATCTAATCCCTTTCTTTAAAAGATTAATTTTCTGGTGTTTTAAGAAACTTATGAAAAGAATTTCTCATAGGAAGATCCAAATTGATAGTTGTTGAAATAGCAGCCTATAGGCAAACTCTTCAGCAGCAGAATCAGTGTTTCCTGAAGGGGAGAGAGGATAAAGAGAGAGTGACAGGACCTTCTCAGACCCCGCCGAGCCAACTCTTAGGACTGCAGCCTGTCACCTTGGTTCCATGCCACTTTACCTTCCAAGGCCTCCAGTGGTCATATCATCTGCTGCTCAGGTGGAGAACAGACCTACACCTCCAAATGCACCCCACTTTAACCCCTCGGGTTCATCCTCACTTGTCTACCTGACTCAGAAGAAGAAACTGGATTTACCTGGGCTGCCTCTATGTGTGACTGAGACTGGTTCTGGTTATTCATGGGGCACCACATACTTCCTGAGCAGTCCATAAGGAAGACAAATTTTGCACAGGTCACAGATGCCTCATCTTCAGGGATGTCTGGATAGAAACTCACAATGACAGAAAGATCTCCTTATACAAAATGGATAAAGATCCTGTGAGAAAAAAGGGCAAGAATATTAAAGCAGCCAGAAATCAATTATAGTGAACTCAATAGTGAACAGGAAAATCTCAAATCTAAATTTCTGTGTTTGATTCTTAGGCAGTATTAGCTTATAAAGAGCTTTGGCAAGTGAGGCATATACATATAAAAAAGTAAAGGAAGAATAATCAACCCTTTTAACAGTGTCCCTGGAAGCTATTTTCCTGGAAGCTTAGCAAATGAGTGAGACACATGAGATGAACATTTTCCAGCATTTGCTAAAAGAAGCAGCAGATAAGTTTATCTGCAGAAGCAACACCTTCTTCATATCAAACCAATGGTAATCTTATCACAAAGGTCATTGTTTAAGTCTTTAATTGCACCTTTGAAAGGTTGATGCTCATATACATAATTTTGAAGCTCATAAATTACAAGAGTATTTAAAAGCAATATACACACCAATGAAATTCCATGTGATTTGGTATGAGGACTCACTGATATTCTCTCTAAGAAAAGAAAGTTCTGGGGTTCATGTTGAATTCAAATAGCTTCACATAAACCATGGGATGAGGGAAAACAGAGGAGACCACCCTGAGTGGATAAACTGTTAAAGCTATATCTGATTTTATGTTTAGGTGTGAATGAAAATGGAGGCTGGAATTAAAACATCATTATTGAGATGGAAATGAAATGATGACTAGATTATATTAACTCCACTTTTATATTTCAGAGAATATAAGAGGATATGGAATGGGGTACCATTATTGTATTTTTATAAACTGAATCTAGAATGGTAGAATTAAATCCTTAGAAGCCTGAGACTCAATATGACCATGGAACCTGTTTCAGTTTAATCTTTTATTCATGGGATACTCTACTAATCAAACAGGCTACTGAATATAGTAGGTATCATCCACAAAATATTTGATAAAGACTAATTGAAAATTATGTATATACAATCCAGACATCTGGATATACAATGCAGCATTGTTTTGATGAGTAAGGTAGATTCCTTTCTGTGACAAGAAACACCTGGGTTTTGTTGGGCTGCCACTGTCCTGAGATGTCAGAAAGGTTGAATAAGAATGATGGGAGTTAGTACATATGAACTGTTCAGAATACCACCAGATACATGGTGAGCACTGCATGTGTATTGTCTACTATAACTCTTTCAGCCTCCTTCAAATTATCTTTAACTTCACCAATCTTGGCTTCCTTGTTTTCAAACAAGATTTTTCAAACCTTAACCCTACCCCTTGCTATCCCCAGTTTCCTCATCTGAAAAATCAAGGTATATAATATCTACTTCATATGATTGTTTTGTTGGCTAAGTGATACCCTTATGAAACTAAGCTGAGGACTCAACTCATATTGAACCCTTAATAATTATATAAAATTATTTCTAAAAGTTATTTTTATACAGTTATTTTTTAATTAAATTTTAATTTTAAAAAGACATCATTCCCTTAATATAGTAAATACTTCTAAGTTTTTAAAAAATAATGTTGTGCTTTCCTCTCTATACTGGTATGCTTCATGTGGCACAACACTAAAACGTTTTTATTGAGCCAGGTTGCCATTGCAAGATTACATTTGCTTCCTTGTGGTTAAATGTACAGCAAATCAAATTGATCAAATATGTGAGCTACAAAGCTGAACTTGAATACCACTGCTGGAAGAGATTCATGAGACTGATAAGGATGTCCTTGATGTCCCTCTGTGGCCAATAGAACTGGCCATGGGAGTAGATAAGGACATCTGCAAGGGGCCTAGAAAAATATCAGACAAGAAAAGAGACAGAGATCTCAATCCTTATCTTCTAAAATTGAACATTATGAAATAATGTTCTGAGAACCAATCACTAATAATGTATTTCACAGGCATGAAGAGCTCACCAATAGGAATCAAACACAGATTACTAATGTACAAGGCAGAGAGTGCAGATTCATGGGAGATGAACTGGTTATAGCAAACATTTTTGAGKTTGGGACCTCATCATGGACAGCTGGCCCTAAGGAATAATGGTTGCCAAGTGAGGCCACCCAAAGAATGCCACTTTGCAAGCTCAAGTGTATGAAACTACCTTGGCCACACATCAGTAATGAGAGCCTGGGATGGCCTGTGGGAACTGACTCCAGGGAACTCTCTTCAGAGCGGTTATAGTTGTGTAAGCATGAGTCTAGTCCCAACCATGTCCCTGTGAATGTCACTGTCCCCAACAATACCTCCATTCTAACCATGTGGAAAATGCTGCTGAGTGGAGGTATCTTTCCAGTAATACTTTATGGTCTCTGCACCCCAGTGCAGGCATCCAGGAAGGCCCAAGAGAACAATAGACTGACTTGGTTGTACCACTTTTTGTTATTAGGAGAAGCACATATGTGTTCAGGAAGATTTAGATAATAAGAAAAATTAGGGAAAAGTAAGAAACTGAACTTACTAAGACACTAAACAGTATTAGAAATTAATAACTAGGGCATTATAAAATTTTAGATATGAATAGTGGTGATTGTGGTGAAGGATGAATTAATTAAGGTCACAGAACTGTCCACTTGAAATATTTAAGATGTTAAATTTTATTATTTGTCACAATTTAAAAAAAGAAAGAATTTCAGGAATATTACCTGTAGGTATGAAGAATCTATCAATAAGGGTTATTCACTGGATTATAAAAAGAAATTAAGAAACCAAACATTGTCTTAATCTAATCCCAATGACTATTTTCATACTTCCTTTTTTAAAAATGTTTTTTCCTATGGCATATGTTATTTTATAGTGGTAACCTGCTTGTGAGACTTATTTCTTACTTCCAGTTACATGGAGGCCTTTCTTCCAAATTATTCCAAAATGCCAATGTATAATATTTCAGTAGCTACATATTAACTTATCACATTAATGAGGGCACAGCATAGTGAWTGAAATAATTTTAATCATTTAACACTTGATGTTATTAAAATTGTTTTATTAAAGTGTATCCAGTGTATATTTTTATTTATATTTAGATTTATGTCCTTAGGTAACATTCCAAAAATTGCAGTTACCAAATTGAGCATTTATTTAGATATATATGGCAAAATTTGTCTTGAAAAGATCAACACAAAACATTTTGTTCACAGTAATCTGTGACAGTCCCAAACTCACTATACCTTTTGAAACATGAAGCATTATATTTGCAAATCTTTGATATTTAAAAATATAAAGATGTCATGTGCTCATTTTTATTTGCATTTGTATCTGGACTGATCACTGTTGCATGTATATAAATGCCTGTATTTTCTGTTATGAATTATTTGTTCACATTATTCATCTAACTATCTACTACTTAAACTTGCCTATAAGACAATGCCACAGCATACTCCCAAGCCAACCTCTTGGTGTGCTGCAGTGAAGCTCTTTCAATATTTCACTTGAGTAGGTTTAGCTGCTACTGGATAGAAAACAGAAGTGAGGATATTTGAGAGTGATTCTAAGACAGTCATCKGCCAAAAACTGAGTAGAAAGGGAGAAAAAAATACCTGGCTTCTTCTCAGGCATCCCCATCTCCTCAGATACTTGGGGGCTGTGCACCTCCCTGTAGTAAACCAGGAGTTCCATGTCCCTGTTAAACTTGTGTCCTTCAGCCAAGGAAACCTGAGTTGGGGACTATCAAGGGAGTCAGGTTAGAACCATCACTCTTTGTTGCCTGGAGCTGAGGTCAGAGCTGAGGGCCACAGGCTTCTTCCACCAGTGAGCATGACTAGGAGCAGAGGGAGAATCAGGAGAAGACTCAGAACATTAAACCTGGGTGAGGAGGGAGCACGGTGCATCCCCCTCTGGGTTAATAGGGAAAAGTAAGGACCACCTGGGAAGGGCTGGACAAAGTCAGGACCCAAGGAATAGGGTCCTGGCAACAACAGTTCTCTCTTACTGATTACCTGAGCAGAAGTCTTATCATCTGCAAGGAACGCAACAGCGTTCAAGGGGCAATTGGAGTGGACCCTCTGGATGCCATGCTGGGAGCTGATGGTGGCAACCATGCTGAGTGTGTAGGGCAGTTCCTCCAAGGCGACTAGAGGAGTTTTCATATCAAGGCAACTATCTATAAGATGTTCTACAAAAAATTACTTTCATTCTGTTTTCCTTTCTAATAGTTTTGGCACACCCCAAAATGAAGGATACAAATCCCCTATTATTCCACCCCAGTATTCAAAGGGGAAAAGGAATCACCAGGGAGATGGTATCTAGGATTTAGGATGGCTGGGAGCACATAGCGCAGGGCCCCATCAGCGTCCAAGGGCAGCTCCTGAACATACCTCAGGGTGAGCTCCACCTTTGACCCAGGCWGGAGGTTCCCCACATTGCAACATCTCTGGAGTATGAGTCCTCCTTCAATGAATAGGCCTCCTGACCCTGGGATATGGCACCCTCATAGTTGTGTTGGGCCTAAGGAAAATAGGAGGGATGGGAAAGAAAGGTAACAACAAATGAAAAGACAGGACTACAGAAAAAGACTGTTAGAGAAAGAAATTAATGGGTCTTCTCAATTTCACATGTGGAGTTTGAATGCCTTTAACTGATTTATCCTTAAATGATTTCAGGAAACAGCATTTACATGTGAGTGAAGGGAAAAGCATCCAACACCATCATTTTTTGTGAAGGTGCATTTGAATGAGATCTTAAAGAGTTCACATTAATCATTAAAGGAAGGGAGAAGACAAAGAACCCATCTCCTGTACCTCCATCTTGTCCTGTAATTCTGCCACAATTTTCTTCCCATCCACCAAGTCCTCAAAGCTAAAGACATCAAAGTCTTCATCCATTGGGTACATAAAGGAGGCTTCCAAAGGGACTTTCTCCTCATTCTCACAGTTTAAGGTTGCAGACACACTGGCCACAAACTCATGGATGGACAAAGTTACAGAGAAGTTCTTCAGTGCTGCTGGGGATAGGTCAGGTTTCAAGAGTTCCACAAGCTATAATAGAAGAACTCTTGCAGGTAAGGGGTTGGGCTAGCACTGATACACAAGGGTTGGACATAAGGTGACCTGGTTCCTGTTGGAGAGCGATTAGGCCACAGGAGCCCTCCATGCTGACAAGGTGATCTTAGGAAAAGACACATTATGAGCAGAGTGACATATTGGGAGATATGCATCCAAATATTAGTACATTATTAGCCTCCCTCTTGCATAAGAATACATTCAGGAAGTTAGGGTTGGATCTAGAACAAAAGGAGGAGGAAAAGGGGACAGGGTCTGATAGTTTGGCTCCTTCTAAATGACAACCCTCCCCGGGAGTGGGAGTGAGTGATGCTGTATAATTCAACAAGGTTCACTAAACAAGAAATTTTAAAACCCTTGAGCCTACTTAAAACAGCAATTCCACTTTTTCAAAAGGTCAAAAGTGCATCTAATACACTGTTCCCTTGGGAATATTGAATAGATCCCATGGTATAGCAAAATGAGAATTTTAGCAGTTTAAGAGCAGACAGGCTGTGGTTTTGCACACTGACACATAGCAAATCTGCTTAATGACATTTAACCATAGAGGTTTGAAGCGGCTAACAAGTAGCTGTAACAGATAACTGCAGGAACAGAAGCAGGAAAAAAGTAGTGGGAATAGAACAATCCCCCTTTAGCTTAGTGCCATAAAAATCCCTAAGCTATGTGAGCTGAGTCCCTAGACTGTTGACAAACTTGTACCTCTATAAGAAATGTAGAATGCACCTTCCAATAGAATTGCACCAACTCCCTTACCTTGATGTACCCCAAATTTGCTTATGTATAAAAGTATAAGCCCTATTATGCTTAGGGCTTAGACATTGGCAATTATCCCTCTGAGCTGTGGTGCTACTTATAAATTATTGCTTCCAGATCTCAGTATTCTGACCCTCATTTCCCACTATACTATCATAACCTTAATCTCCCTTGAAATTCAGTATTATCTTTCCAAAATAATAACAATCAGACCTTCATTTCACACTTGGATTAATATATGCAAAGTTCCTATCTATCATGTGGCCTGTGCAATGGTTTCATTAATGAGGTTCTAGGCATAAAGTTAGTTAGAAGAGATCGAAATAAAACACACAGACTCAGTTACCTTATTTCTATTGCTAGATCCGAGGCGGCTCACCTCTCTGGTTCCCACCTCTAACCGCCCAGCAGGGCAGCAAGGATTACTCAGGGCTAGCAGGAGAGAGAGAGAGTGAACACGCCGGGGAGTGCCTTTTATTGGGGAACAAGAGATTCAGGGGGAAAATTCCATCCAATGAAGGTTGAGGGGGGGCTGCACTCCAAGGTCAGGGTCAGTGATTGGGTCCCCCGGGGTCAGTGGTCAGGCTCACCCCCACAGGGATGGGCTCTCTCATCAGGAAAGGGCCAGGAAAGTTTCGACACAGCCAAAGCGCCTCAGACCCTTAACGGGAGTCACCCAATCACGTGTTAGAATGGCTTCCCACATATCCCCCCTTTATTTTCTTAACAATGAGGCAGCAGTTCACTCTCTGGAGTTTCTGGATCCTTGATTGGAAGACTCACCATCTTATGATTACAACACAAAAGAGAATTAACAGCAAGGAGAATAATCCAATAATGTACCAAGCAGAGTGTTTAAGAATATTTCCAGGGTTGAATCCATTTAACTCCTTCAATATTTGGTTAGCCAAAGAAGAAGGATCTGAAAAATCAGCTCTATTATTTTGAATGTCTTGGATATGGTGATGAAGTTCCAGAATATCCAAGCT